CTCCTGCACTCCTTCCAGCTCCTATTATTCTCCTTTGGATTGTGCCCCAAACTGTGTTTGTGAACTCATTAGACCTTTGCATGTTGACATAATGATAGCTACTGATTTGTGTGCTGCAAAGACTGCCTCTAGTGTCTTTAAATGTCAACATTAATGTCTTATGTGTGAACTAAAATCCCCCAATACTGGCAGTTTAATGATCTTTCTAGATAAAAGCTGAAATTGTAATAACTATGTAAATTTCAGCCCAAGGGAAGCAGTATTCTCATAGTGATCCCAAAACAAAAGTGTAGGAGTCATCAGCCTCTGCTGGCTACATCTGTTTAGAAAACCAAAAGCTAAGAATTTTAGTTTTCCACATGAAACTCAAAAATGACATGAAAATACAATCGCAGTTCAATTTGGAAGTGACTGGTTTCATGTTTTTGTATACTGAAAAGCTAATATGCTACAACTGCTTTTCTGTCTGTCACCAGGAATGACTGGCAACCTGCCTTCCTTAATGAAAAATGGTGCATTTCAATTAAATACCATTATTAAAACTGGAAACTATCTTTCAAGAATTACAGCCATCTCAGCTTCAAATGTCTGCTGATGCTTTATCTTCAGCTTCCTCTCAGACATGATGAAAAGTGAGAGCACTTTGTGACTTGGAAATCAAGAATGATGTGGTGCATATAGTAATGGGAGACTCTTTTCCATTTTGGTTTCTCTCAGTTTCTCATCTTTCCAATCTTTAGATGTGATCTTCTGCTAATGTACACATGACTTTATGCCATTTTGTACACATTTCTGCTAATCAATTCCCCCCATATGATGCATTTCTGTGTGTTATTTGCATGAACATATGCATTTTTAGACACATTTTATTCCACTAGATGCATTTTTGTACACCTCATTTGTTTGGAGAACTGAATTGCAAAATTCATAGGAAGTGTGAATTTCACAGAATGACTGTGTTTCAGTTCCTATATTGCTTCAGTGTGAATTGGGCAGGCTCAACTTTAAATGCAAACTAATTCAAATTTCTCTCCCCCACTCCCTTCAGTACTTGCCACCTCAGTGTGGACAGCATTCCCAGCTTGCACCACTCATGGTGATCACATGAGCAAGTGTGTCTTTCTACCAAACTAATACGATAAGTAAAGGAGGCAAATAACATATTTGTATTTCATCACTCTCCCCTGCAGAACAAAGGGTGCTTTACAATTAGAAACAATCTAATCATGATTTTAGAACTGCCCTCAACACAGCAACTGGTCAACATGGTAGGAGGGTCGGTGTTTTTACATCCCCCAAAGCCTGGATGTATTTAAAATAGTGTTTAAATTGCACCTAAATGCATCCAAAGAGTTGAATATATTTTGAAATCTGTAGCACCCTTTGGAACTCTTGAGCTTTCTGGTTTTTTGTCCGGTTAGCAAAGCAGATTACATTGCCGTTAGCCAGGTTTGTTGTTGTAGTTTTCCCCAAACGCTGCTCTGGGAAGTAGCACAGCTTCCAAAGAAGCCCAGGTGCCCGTTTCATTTGCAGCTTCTGTGTGGAGAGATTCTGCTCCTAACACAAAACCCTGACCCATCCTGTCAGCAGTGATACAGTGAGCTTGCTATCCATTGCTGACAAGGGAGGAAAAAGGGGAAACATGGGAACAGAGAGATAAACACTTATCTTTTCTAGCGCGTGAAATGCAAATAACACATGCTGCTTATAGTACCTGTCTCATGACCTGGATATGGTATGCATAGGTTCCATATTTTATTTTTACTCACCATAGTGGTTTCTGCAATAGATCCAAAGCTGTTGATGAAAATATTGCAGCTGACATTCACTGGAGGGCCTGCAAAACAAGTGAAGGTTGATCAGACGTTCTGTGTGCCACCTAGCAAAAGTAGACCCTGCATTCAGCAGGGGCTTGCACCACCTGAGCCTCAAGGTCTCTTCCCACTCGGATTTGATGATGCTACGTGGGGGCCTTCAGATTGCCACAGTTTTGGAGGGAGAGATTCAAGCACATACTGGCGCTTTCGGTTTGTGCACTTAAAACAGATTACAGTAGAACCTCTACTTACAACCACCTCTACTTGGGCCCGGTCCAAGTCACGACCACGGCAAACCTGGAAGTAAATACCGGGTTTGCCGCAATTCACACACATGCAGAAGCGGCTGCCACCGTCTGCACGTGCACACAATAGCGCTTCTACCAGAGACCCGTTTTGCCTAAAGGACGGGCCGCCAGAACGGATTATGGTGGTAAGTAGAGGTTCCATTGTAAAGGGTTTTATTCCCCCAGAGCAATAAATTCACTTCAAAATAAAAAGAATTGGCCATTTTGCGGTTTGAAAAGTGAGGGGGAAATGCATTGAAAAGTGTGATAGGAATGGATGAATAAGAAGTTGTATGAACACCCTGAAAGCAGATTGTGATGAATGTTTGTTGACGTAGCACCTCCCCACAAACAAATCAGAATGAATGCTCAATGAAAACCAGATATAATCTAACCTCTATATAAGCTTTGTGCAAGCAAATCAGGGTGAACGTTCAATAAAGAAGTTGTCTGGCACAAACCTATATTGATGTGATGTCTGTCAATCTGTTTTTGACATGGGATATTGTGCTAAGGGTTGCTGTTTTGTAATATGTTCTTAATATTTAAAAAAAAGGACAAAAAAACCAATAATGGCCAAACTTTTGCTTGTTCTTAAGAACATAAGGAGAGCTGTGATGGATGAGATCAAAGGCCCATCCAGTCCTGCATCCTGTTTTCCCAGTGGTCAGCCAGGTGCCTAAGGGGGGGACTGCAAGCAGGACCTGAATAGCACTTGTGACTTCCACCAACTCATATTTGTTGGTTGCATTGTGCACAAAGCTTGCACATGTAGTAATTGTCCACATCTAAGCTTCCCATCCATGCATTTAGTCTACATAGCTAGACCAGAGGGCTTTTATGCTTGCCTCTGGAAGGTAGGCAAGAATTATATAACCTAAGGACCCATCTGATGCTGTGGCCACTGTTTTCTGGTCAATTACAGTGTGTGTAGCTCAATGGGCTTTAAGGCTTGGATCAATCCAAGTGTTCAGAAAGGGAGTTGCTTTGTGCCCTATCTTCCTTTTACGCCATTCACTTTTTCAGAATCAGCCTTATTAGATAACAGGAAGGGACGTGGTGTAAACTGAGCACGGAGTTATATCACCTAAAGACCTTTAGCTCATTGCATCTAGATGATAAAAGTCTGAGAAATCACTTCGGACAAAAAGGACAGAAAGCTTAGCATGCCCTTTCCAATCAGGGAGTGACAAAGGGCACCCAGGCCAGGGGAGCAGTGAGGACTCCAACCAGAGTGAAGATTAGAGGCAGAGGCCTGACTATCTAGCAGCGCATGCCAAAACGATCTGAAATGTGCCACTCAGAGCTTTGCTCCATTTCACCTTTGTTTTAATACCTGTTATTACTTACAGTTCTACCTTGGAGAGATTACAGGATTAAGCAGGCCAGCCACCCTCTTCCAAATATAAATAAATCTTTTGTGAATAGCAGCAGCAGACTGCAAAATTCAGTGAGGATAATGTATCAATCTATATTCAGGGCTAGGCTCTGGATGACTGCACATGAAGGGGAAAAGGGCGAGGAGAGCTCTATCCCGCTTCAAAGGTCTTGCTGGGAAACAGCTGTAACTGGCAGTCTAGACACACTGAATTCCTCCAGGATTCCCTTATGGAAGCAAAGGTCTGGCTCACACATGCATGCCAGTAAAGTGATTTTCCTACATTTGATTGCTGTACCCTTGAACTTTCAGCGTTCCACACAAGATTACTGCAGGAGTGTGCCAGGCTGCTGACAGGCTTACAAAGGTCCTGGTGCTAGGTGAGCATTAATCTGGGAGCAGGTTTCATTACAGTAAATGAGCCTTATGTTCAAACCAACACCACCCCAGACTCCCTCAGGACCTGTGTCTTTAATCACATTGTTTGCTTGTGTGCAGGGGTGGAGGAAGGGGTGTGTGGTGGAGGCGGGCTGCCCTGGGTGTCACCACTGAGGGGGGTGACAAAATGCCAGGCAGCACTCACCACCGAGCCTGCAGCGCACCTGAGCCAAGTGTCTCTCCTGGGAGTGACATGATGGCTTCGGCGCCCGCAGGCTCCACGCTGCCCCAAACTGTCCGCCTGCTGCCCTCCCCTCAGTTGTAGGGTGGGTGAGTGAGAGGAGGCAGGCAGACTCCTTGGAGGCACTGTGGAGTGTCCTGTCCTGTCATGTCCCGGCTCGCTCCGTCCTGCGAGTGGCTGCCCCTGTCCCTGGGCACAGGGCACAGGGCATGCGCGCTGCCCCAGGCACCCAACTGGCTTGCTCTGCTGCTGCTTGTGTGTGCAGGCTTTGTTTTCTATAAATTGCCAGGGTGAGCTCCCCGAGTCCTGGTATGTTTGTGTGGAGAGAGTAGTAAAGCTTCCATCTTTTCCTCCCTGCTGTGGTGCTGATCTGGACTGGCCCCTGTTTGCCTGCAATTTGCACTGAAGCAAATGGGAGTTTTTATTTCAATGCAAATTGTCAGTGTGGAGAACCCAATCTGGATTGGCACACAGTGGATAGTAAATGAATAAAACTTCCTGACCACCCTCACCCTCCCGTGTAAAGGTCCTGATCTGGCTCAGCGATGCTGCTCTTGGAATTTTTCAAAGAAAAAGCTTGCGGTCAAAGGCAGACTACATGCTTAAAGTCATACATAAAACAGGAAGCTGTATGATAATGTAGCAATCTCTGTATACAGATATAAAAAGGGTCTGTGGACCCTGATTGAGAGGAATAGAGACCACTGTTGCACACTTGTGTGAAAGCATGCCCACCTCTGTGTACAGATAACACAGATAGCAGCTGCCATTATTGCATGAAGGTGTGTACGATTGCAAACTGCTATGTACAATAGTACATTCTGAAACATGACCCCTGTGCATTTCAAATACAGCCCGGCAGGGGCTCTCCAGAGTTTGAGATAGGAAGCCTATCGCGCAGCTCTACCTGAAGCTGAAGATTGAACCTGGGACCTTTTGCATTCAAAGCAGATGCTCTACCACTGAGCCATGACCCTTCTTTATCTTTTCTCATTCTTGTCTCACTGCAAGACAATGTGCCATTTAAAACCTAAGTACTCACATATATTAACATATGCTGATGAGCTGGTACCACTTCCTCCTTTGGGGAGAGCTGGCAATATTATAGCCTTCATTTTAGCTGCAGGCTGGAAGGCCTCAAGGTTTAGTGTATCTGAAGCCTTTCTTTAAAAGTGCCCGACATTTGCCAGATGTGAACGGAAAACTAATGTCTTTCCCAGCTTTTGTCTGGCAGTTCATATGCAGCAAATAAACTTCACCATGCTCCAGTGCTCTCACTACGGGTGGCTGTATTGAAAGCTATGGCCCCTGGCCACCTGGAGGCTGCATCAATTAGGGTAAAGGATGTTTTCCTTGTCCTTCCCCACAAAGCTGATATACTGGTAAATTCTATGCCAGGGATATGCAACCTAAGGCCCGTGGGCCGGATGCAGCCCAATCACCTTCTCAATCTGGCCCATGGACGGTCTGGGAATCAGCGTGTTTTTACATGAGTAGAATGTGCCCTTTTATTTAAAATGCATCTCTGGGTTATTTGTGGGGCATAGGAATTCGTTCATTCCCCCCCCAAAAAAAATGTAGTCCGGCCCACCACATGGTCTGAGGGACGGTGGAATGGCCCACGGCTGAAAAAGGTTGGTGACCCCTGTTCTATGCTATGGATTCTGGGTTTCCAGGTTGAACTTTCAGCTAAGTTTTAAAGGGGAGGTTTCTTAAGTAACCCCTGATCTGAAAGTCCCTGCTTGAATTAGGTACTCTCTGTAATAGGCCAGGAATCATGCCATAACTCTGTTCTTTTTTTAAAAAAAGCTGCCAGTTTAAGATCATATGGTAATATGCTATGTTGGTTCAAGCTCCACAAAGCTGGGAAATTGGAAGCGAAGGCTGATGTCTACACAGGTGTGCTGCATGAGCAACAAGGCTTGTGTCTGCTTACTACTTACCTTCCATGGACCCACATGGAATGTCCCTTAGTTTTTAAAGACCCAACCCTTGATTTCCTGAAGGAGCGTCTCCACCCCCATCGCTCTGCCCGGAGACTGAGGTCCAGCTCCGAGGGACTTCTGGCAATTCCCTCACTGTGAGAAGCCAAGTTACAGGGAACCAGGCAGAGGGCCTTCTCGGTAGTGGCACCCACCCTGTGGAACGCCCTCACACCAGATGTCAAAGAGAACAACAGCTACCAGACTTTTAGAAGACATCTGAAGGCAGCCTTGTTTAGGGAAGCTTTTAATATTTGATGGACTACTGTATTTTAATATTTTGTTGGAAGCCGCCCAGAATGGCTGGGGAAACCCAGCCAGATGGGCGCGATATAAATAATAATAATAATAATAATAATAATAATAATAGACACTGGCATTTTCTCCCTGTTTCTGTTTTTTATTGGAATTCTCTGACATCCCTATTCATGAGTATCTTCCCGTGCAGAATATAGTACAGTTGTACTTTGGAAGCCGAACGGAATCCATTCCGGAAGTCTATTTGACTTCCAAAACATTTGACTTCCAAGGTGCGGCTTCTGATTGGCTGCAGGAGCTTCCTGCAGCCAATCGGAAGCCACGGAAGCCGTGCCAGACGTTCAGCTTCCAAAAGAACATTTGCAAACTGGAACACTCACTTCCGGGTCTGCGGCGTTTGGGAGCCAAAACGTTTGAGTGCCAGGGCGTCCAGCTTCCAAGGTATGACTGTACTTGGTAGGTGGGGACAAAGATTGTATCCTTGTCACACGGGGCGGGGATGTTTCCTATCCAATTCTGCTTTGCTGTGTGTGCATGGCAAGATGGAGAAGGGGATTTGGAGGTAGATGAGTTCATGATGATCTTAGGTCTATGCAACAAACAGTGATTTTTATTTGTTTATGTGCACGGTCAGTGGCTCCCCATCATGTCAACTGGCCTCTGATCCACAGTGTCCTCTCCATGCTGAATATGTGCCAGCCTGTTAAGAAGAACTGCATGTGGGGATTGATCCTATACATTTCAATCGTTTGCAGATTGGAAGTGCTGGAAATGGCCTCTGTCTATGCTACCGCAGGGTTTTGTTGAGCATGGTTTGGGAAGACAGAAACTGGGGTTGGAGGCTGGTCTGTTTCTGGTCAGTGTCAATTTCACATGCATTTCTTAAGATGCTTCCATCCTGTTTCCACATTAATAGCGATTTAACAACAACACTCTGTAGGAACATTTGCATTCGAAGAAATACATAAATAGTATTTATTATAAAACACATATTTAAATACATATTTTATCTCAATGTACACATTTCTGAACACATTTTATCCAAAAAAGGACTATACTGTAAGATTCAGAGGCATGCAAAATCTGATTAGATTCAGAGCTGTGTACAAGGTCGGTTCACTTAAAAAATGCAGACCAAACAAAATTCTCCTCCATCCTGAAACTACTTCTCCCTAGCCTAACTCATCTAAAACAGTTGTTGTGAGGATACAGTCGGATGTATGTAGCCACTCAGGTAGTCTGGATTACCAATGTGACATAAATTAGCCATATTGTCCAAGTTCTCACCATCTCTATTTTCTGCATGTGCTCAGGAAGAAAATTTAAGAAATGGACACTTCCAGGCTATTGCTATTTTTGGGTGGGGTTCAGTCATGTCCTGGCAAATGCAGGTTGCACAATTATAGTCAATGTGGAGGCCTTGCACAACAATACTGCTTTCCCAAAGATCAGAATTTTTATGGTAAGGAATATGATGGGAAGATGTGCTGGAGAGTGTTGGGTAACACTCGCCACGACACAACACCATCTAACCTCCCTGTAAACAAATTGGAACGAATGCTCATTAAATAGCCAGTGTCCTCTAATCTCCCTGTGAACAAGAATTAATGCTCAGTAAACACATCATTTGAAGCACCCACGGTGGGCTTCACCCACAAAAAGGAGTTTTTCTCCTCCCCCTTGCTTTTAATTTTAACTATCATGAATAAAGAAAGAAACTGATTCTGGGCGGCCATGGTATTATTTTCATTTAAATCTAAACCATTAAAACGCCTCTGTGACTTATTGCTGGCTCATTTAAATGATGTGCTCAGAAAGCTACAAGCTCAAGTTCTGCAAAGCTGCTGCTGTGACTTTCATATAAATTGGATACTGATTTATGTGTGACAGACGAAGCCAGCGAACTGCCCCCATGGGGGGAAGGTGCAGTTCATTGAAATAAATCTGAAATTAAATTATCTTGCATAAAATTACAATACAACTGCCTTCAGCAGAAGGGTAATGTATATATTTCATTAAATATTAAAGTTTAATTTCTTTTGTGTATACGTGTGTGCTGGAGTGGGAAGACCTTCCTGCGGTGCATTCCTTTTAACCCTCTGTTGGTTTTCTCCCAGTATCTGAAGCCTTCTTTTTTAGCTGGGTAGCCAGACATATTTGTGTCATAATGGCCGAAATGGGGAACCTTTTACAGCCCGAGAGCTGCATTCCCTTCCCAGGAATCTTCCAGGGGTCACATGTCAGTAGTGGGTAGGGCCAGAGAAAAGGTGGGTGGAGCCAGAGGCAGACTTCCAGGATTTATTCTAGCCCACCAAAGACACCCAAGGAGAGTGAAAAGTGAGGCCAGCATGGCCAGTGTGGCCTGGAATGAGTCATGAGTGCCAGAGAGAAGAGAGTGAGAGAGGCGTGAAGGTCCCTGAACCCCTCATCTATGGCTTATAGAAGCCAAATGGCAAATTTAAAATTGCCTTTTGTATGGCAAGGGTTGTATGCAGAGTAGGCTGACTGAAATGAATGGGCATGGCCCACTTAGGTCCTTTAATGGGTCTACTGTGAGTGGCACTTAAAGGTAAATGTAAAGGGACCCCTGACCATTAGGTCCAGTTGTGACCGACTCTGGGGCTGCGGCGCTCATCTCGCTTTATTGGCCGAGGGAGCTGGTGTACAGCTTCTGGGTCATGTGGCCAGTATGACTAAGCCGCTTCTGGCAATCCAGAGCAGCGCACGGAAACATCGTTTACCTTCCTGCTGGAGTGGTACCTTTTTATCTACTTGCACTTTGACGTGTTTTCGAACTGCTAGGTTGGCAGGAGCAGGGACCGAGCAATGGGAGCTCACCCCATGGCGGGGATTCGAACCGCCGACCTTCGGATTGGCAAGTCCTAGGCTCTGTGGTTTAACCCACGGCACTTAACTGGATGCAAACCCATGAGTTAAAACCCCCAGCCTTGGGCCAGACTCTAAACCTCAGCCTCGCATCGGTAAAACACCTCATATCCAGGTGTCATGTGGTAGCAACTTCAACTGTGCCACATGCCACCTGGAACTGTACGGCAAAGTGCTCATCCACAGCCTCTGAACCAGGAGTGGGAAACCTGTGATATTCCAGATGTTGTCAGCCTACTACTCCTTATCATGGGTAGAACTGGAGGGAGTTGTAGTCCAGCAACATCTGGAGAGTCACAGGTTCCCCACCTGCAGTTCAGAGCCTTCTTGCAGGTAACTCTAAACACACAGTTAAGTCAGGCATTATGGACCACCTAGCCACATTGCTTGAAAAGCTGCTGAAGTGAAAGGGTAACAAGACTGCACTTAATCACGTGATTGGTAGCTACAGAATATTAGCTCTTCTTCTTGTGGTTGCAGGTACTGTGTGGCAAACTGTTAAGCAGCTACTTCATGGTCTTGTTTATGCATATTCACACCACTAGTTTACTGAAGAAGACTCCCAAATCCAGTTTCATCAGACCATATCAGCTTTGTTGGGCTTTGCCTTGCAAGTTTCCAAAGCCCTGAGCATCTAGAGCTGCTTATTTTAGTCCATGTGTGAGCAGATTTAAGCTGGCAGTTTCTGGGGTTTGCTGTTGTTGTTTCTGTTATATTTAGCTAGTGAATTGGATTTCGACTTAATTTCAGCAGAAGGTTTTGTATGTATTCTGTTATACTTCCTCTCAGCCTTTGAGGTAGGGTGATCTATAAATTCAATGCAATGAATAATAACATGCCTCTTTGCA